TTAGCCTTTAATTTTATATGTAGAACAAAGGTTCTATATGTAACTATGGACTAACTACGATGAATAAAGTCAATTCGGCATAACGTAAATACTATTATTGAAATACCACACAATTGCCTCAATTTTGTCGAATCAAATCGATTTATTGATGATTTGACAATATATATTTCTCTTCACATGCCCTCTTTGCTGTCCGTACTCATTCCCAATATATCATTTACATGAAGCCCTCACTTAACATACTGTCCTGATCTGAGTTCTCAGCAGCAATAATGCCTTCAGGGTAACAATATGTATAGAAACTTTCAAGAATCCTTTCAAGAACTGAGAAAATAAATTGCATCGAAAATTTCAAGGGTCTTCATTAACTACAAAGATCACTGTGAATCTTGAGAATTAGATGGCACATATCTACACATACATAGCAAATCCGAGATGATGAATAAGAACCGCTGGCCAGAGGCAGAAGAAGTACACTTGCTTATGTTAGCCACTGGAACTGTTTTAATCAGAAAGTTAATATATACACAATAGGTGAACAATTCTTCATTTGATACACAGGCCGTAGCTTCCACCATCTTCGATCAGATGATTTTGTGAACGGGATGGTCAATTGATCAAGCAAAAGTTTTTGCCACTGAAAGTCAGAATGGTTAAAAAAACTGTATTAGAGGCCGGGTAAGAAGCAAGACCAAGATCCTAGTGAAATAAATTAAATGTCAGGAAATTCACATGCATACAACATTACCATGCTGCGTGCACATGCACAAACAGTCACGGCCGAGACTAACTAGAAGTCCCTATCCCTAATCCACATATACACACCGTTAAACATGGAAAGAACTTTAATATAATAATGTAACCTATGTCCAAAAAAGAATGCAACTTTAAGTTTGTATTTAGTCAAAACTATTTTAAATTTGATGAAATTTATAGAAAATAACATTTATGACTCTAAAATAAATTAAAATATATTTCATGATGAATCTAATTATATTTATTTAATACCATAAAGATTTGTAGATTTTTTAAATAAATGTGAACAAACTTGAGATAGTTTGATTTGATACTATGATAAAGTTAGGTTATTTTTGGAGGAATATTATTGCTATCAAATTGATTACTGCTAATTATCTTCTTCAGCTTAAAAAAATTTGCGACAGAAGGAATATATCGATTGCTACCTACTATATGCTGATGTTCAATAATTAGAAATGCTTTGGAAATCAAAATTAACTAATTATAAGTAAAATATGCTATCCAAAACGTCATCTAATTATTACCTAGTGGAGCTAGTAGTAATTGTACTCCTCTGCTCCTAATTATAAGACGTTACGATAGAGATACAAAGTGATTTTACCATGTATCTAGACATAGTGTATGTTTAAGTGCATAGATAGCAAAAATTTGGAATAGCCAAAACGTCTAGATACATTGTAACATCTTATAATTATAGTGGATCTAGAAGTTTTGGCCTTTTTTAGATACACTATGTCTTACACTATAATTATAGCAGTAACTGTACTCCCTCCATAATTACAGTAACGTCTTACACTATAATTATGTCTAGATACGTCTTATAATTATAGTGGCTTTTAGATATACTATAATTAATGTCTAGATACAAAACTTCTAGATACATAGTGTATTAAAAAAGTCAAAATATCTTATAATTTGGAATAGATGGAGTAGCATTCAGTAGTAGGTGGCAGAACTTCACAAACATCTTGTAAATATAGCATACCTAACAAATTAAATCCTGCCAGGGTCCATAGCTCACTGATAGAGAGTTCGACTGCACATCAACAGGTCACTGTTTTCAACCTGGTTGGGCCCTATTCTTATGTACATCCGCAACTGGAATTCTAAAATTAACCTCGACAAGTTACTGTAGCTTCACCGCTTTTGCACTATAGCGTATAGATATTCCGGATCCCGAGGCACCAAATAAACTATAAAATGAGTGAAGCATGTGAAGCTAAGATTTTTGGCCCCGCTTGGCAGGCACCGGCTCTGCTTCTTATGGCTCCTCGCTAGGAGCCATGCCAAATGGAAATTCAAAAACAGCTCCTTGCAAGGAGTCCAGAGGAGCCAGTCAGTCATTTTAGAAGAGCCAGAGCCAAAAAAAAAGTGTCTTCTCCTGGTTCTTGATTTGAAGACTCAAAATGACAGCCTGCTACTCAGAGACTTCATAAACCTTTAATAAACTTGATATCCCTTGGGTGCTTTTGATTTGGGAGAAGCATTACTCCAATGGTCGTCTACCTATCCAAGAAAAATGAGGTTCTTTCTGGTGCAGAGACCTTCTTAAGCTCCTGCCAATTTATAAGAGCATAGCCAGTGTTACCCCTACAGTGTTCATCCTGCTTCTTATGGTTGGATCACTGGCATCGACCTTCTCTTCAACAGATCTTCCCTGAGTTGTTCTCCTTTGCCAGGAATCCAAACATCTCGGTTCAAAGTGCAAGACTAGCAGTACTGCTCCAATCTCTCTTCCACCTACCCCTTTCAGTGGAGGCTTTTGATCAATACCAAGCTTTCACTTCTATTGTTAAGACAGTTCGAGACACACAGGATGCGGATATCTGGACTTATGTCTGGGGTTCATCTCTTCTCTGTTCCCGCAATGCATATAAGCATCTAATAGGCCATAAACGAATTCATCCAGTTTTTAGGTGGCTTTGGAAATCTTCCTGCCAGAAAAAAGGAAGTCCTTTTTTTGTTACTTCTCAAGGATAGATTAAACACCATAGGGCTTTTTACAAAGGAAGAATTATGTCCTTTGCAGTCATAACATTGAGGAAAGTCTCCATCTGTTCCTAGCCTGCCCTCTCACTGGCCAATATTGGAACACACTGTTGTAAAACATATGGACTCTATCTAGTAGGAAAGGAGAATGAGGAATGCTGATCCTAGTCCTTTTGTATGTGAGCTCTTACTAAAACTCTTAAGCCTTGGCAGGACTATATATATGTGGGAGCTCTACGTTGTAATGGCCAATATTGAGAGAAATAAAGAATAATCTCCGATTTCTTGTGTCTATGTGTTTTATTTTCTTCCAAACATTGATCATCGAGACGGAGAGCGGAATGTCCTAACTGCTGGCAACATATTTTATAACACACACTACGTCTGCAAACTGGAGGTTTCATAGATCCTTTTGATATTCTGGACAGTTTCAAGAGGTAGCTTGCAGTTCATTTTTTCCTGGAAATGTTAACCTGCATGTCCTAGGCAATTTGGTCCGTGCGCATGGCAATGACCATATCTTCAGGAATAGACATGTTTCTCTTCGGAGACGCAAGCAAATTTTCAAGGACGAGTTTGCAGGAGTTATTCTCCGGACAAAGCAAGCACTTCGGCCATTACTTAGTTCGTGATCGACTAGACAATTATGTGTAATTCTGCTCATTTTCTTTTTGTCTTTCCTTGTTTCGGGAACTTCTGTACTGGTAGCCTTTTGTTTATATTTTGTTTAATAAATCCTAGTAAGGGGCACACCCCTACTGTTTTTCTCAAAAAAAAATTTGAAAGGGGATAAATCAATACTACTAATGCCTACACCACATCATGAAGTTAGCTCAATATGTGGTATCCGTAACAGTTCAGTTCGGTTTAGTGCATGAAAAGCAAATATGGTGTTTCGTTCAGAAAATAAAAAAAGAAACGACAATGATATGAACCGGGCATCCGGACGGCTGGACGCACCAATCCCGCACGTCCACTTCTTATCCATCTCGTGACCCTCTCGCTCCCCATTGCCCACTCATGGCCGCTCCGCCCGCCCGCTTCGCCCCCCTCCCCACACACACTGCCCGCTCCACCCCGCCTCTCCGGGCCACCCCTGGACGAACGCCACACTGGTGGCACCTTGCTGCCGCGCCAGGCCCCCTGCTCCCTCCTCCTCCTTCGTCCATCCCTCCCCCTCCACGACCTTCATGCGCACCCCACGCTCCCCTAGCAACCCGGCTCCCTCTCCCCCCGAGACGAGGACAGCGGGTGGCTGCTTTACTTCGATTTAGGTAGGTTGATACTTCTCTAGATCTCGAGCCTCCTCCTCCTCCTCCTCTGGATCTGAGCCCTCTTCCTCCTCCTCTTCCTCCACCTCTCCGGATCTCGAGGGTCGCATGGTGGTGGCTAGGGTTCCGGCGAGATCCGAGGTCCTATTCTCTCCTTCCTCCGACGAGCTCGAAGGTGATGGGCCAGTGGTCGAGCAGCCTGCACCTCGAACCCATCCCCTTGCCGCTTGTACGTCTCTATCTGCTTTCTCCGTGTTGCAATGGGTTTTTGGAATGTTGCAACAGATGATTTTGAATGTTGCAATGGTATTTGTGGGTTATTGCAATGAGATGATTTTCAAATGTTTCCATTTTCATGTTTCATGGTTGATTTTTGCGATGTTGTTGAAGATTACGCTTTGAAATGTTGTAATACATAATTTTCGATTTTGCAAAGACATAATTTTTTTTGTTCTACAACAGACATATTTTTTCGATGTTGCAATTACATGTTTTTCGTGTTTGCACTACATAATTTTGCGATGTTGCAAAGACATAAGTTTCAATGTTACAAAGAGATAATTTTGATGTTGAGTATATATTTTTTCGGTGTTGCAAGATACATGTTTTTCGACGCTGCACTACATAATTTTGTGATGTTGCATATTTATATTCCAATGTTGCACTACATAGTTTTCCATATGTTGTACTTGAAGTATTTCGTGCTCTTGGGACAAGGGGACGCGGTGGGGAATGTGGTGCGTTGGGGAACAGTGAATGAGGCGCCCATGGGAACGGAGGACAGGGGGCGCTGTGGACACAATTTCATTCCGTTCTATTCCGATCCAATTTCTATTCGCGTTGAGGGGACGGGCGGGTTTGGAAAGAGGAGCGGCGCCGGGATGCATCTCGCTTCGCGGACGTCCGGGCGTTAGGATATATAACCATAGACGAAAAACTGGTGTGTTATGTCGATTCGATGCAATGGTACGTTGACACCAATTAACATAATATTGTTGACGAAGAAAGCGCACCTTTCGACGACTCCTGCACAAGCACGATATGCACGGCCGCGTTGTTGGGCGGCAGCTGCAGGCGGAGCGGCAGGAGCTTCCTGTTGATGGGGCTGCGCGAGCACATGATGACGTCATCGAGCCCCGTCTCCTCCTTGAGCCTCTCCAGCAGTTCCTCCAGGCTCGTCCCGTTGAACGTCAAGTAGTGCGGCTCCTCGTCCGGCCTCACCTCCCCATTGCTGTCCCCGATGTGGTAGTGCACCGCTCGCCCCTCCACCTTGTGCAGCGGCACCGTGAAGGAGTCCGTCGACTGCACGCGGGCACACGCAACCGATCGATCCCGGCGAAATGGTAAGTCACCATGGAAATCTCGTGCAAGCAATCTGCATGCCTTTGGTTGGTCAGGTGATTGGAGGACGGACCTCGAGCCTGTACAGACCAGGAGCCGGTGGCGCGATGTAGCCCGGCGGCGGCGGCGGGGCTGCGCTCTGAACGGAGCCAAGTTATCTTCACGGTGGTGCGCCGGCGGGGCGGCAGGCCTCAGCGCCGACGTTGGCAAGGGAGCCGGAGACTGCGGGCGGGAGGGCGGGTTGTTTCTGTACGACGACGGAGTCAGGGACGAGGCGAAGGGGTCGGCGTCGGTCTCTGCGGCGGCGGACGACGACGAGGAGTCCGGTCCCGTCGGCGGCGGGAGCGCCTGGACGATCTCGACATCCCAGACCACCCACCCGCTGTGCCGGTGCGGGGCGTCGTGGGTGACGGAGTTCCGCCACGGCGGGAGCCCCGCGTTGGCGCGGAGGAAGTTGCCGTACCGGGTCCGGAGGCGCGCGGCGCGGGCGTGCGCGTTGGCGCCGGCGTCGTCGCGCACGGGCACCCACTCGACGGAGGAGTCGAGGCGGTGCGGCAGCGTCTGCAGCACCTTCCGGCCCGTGAAGCCCAGGAGGAAGGGCTCGTTGGAGGCGGAGAGGTAGCGGCCGTAGCGGCCGCGGAGGCGGAGCACACCGGGGGCGTGCGGCACGGGCTCCACCACCCACCGCGCGTTCGGGGACGCCGCGTTCCGGTCCTGGATCACGTGCGCCTCGTCCTCGTCCGCGTACAGGTACTTGTCGTGGTGGCTCCGCAGCCGCACAGTCCTCGCGCGCTCGAACAGCTCCATCTCGGATCGATGACGATGCGTCGTCGTCGTCGTTGCTCTGCCGCGCGCGGCGGCGGTGCGCCGCGGCGTGGTCCTTGTTGCGGTGGGCGATCCCTCAGGGGCGGCCGAACACGGGGAGTGGGATTGGGCGGTGCGCGCTCCGGGCGTTCCGCGCGCGGCGAGGCTATTCTTGAGGAGAGAGATGGCATGGCGCATGGCGCATGGCGCGCGGCGCGCGGCGCGGGAGTATTGCCTACTGACTACTGAGCAGCGACGGATGGGGCATGTTTGACCGTTTTGACCCAACCGTTGGTCATGGCTTGCGACTATACGATCTGCCTGCTATAGTTTTTTTTTTTGAGAGAAATCTGTCTGCAATGTTGCTATGTGTAGAGCTGGGACTTGGCCGGGGCAGGCCGTGACATAGTCTTTTGGCACGACACAAAACCAGGACACGACACAATATTTTGTGTCATGCTGGTACAACATGAATGCCAGGATTGGCTACATGGTCTGACTCATATTTTTTTTTTGGCTGTGTTTTGGCTGCCACACTACAAAAGTGGCACAATTGGACCATGTTTGGGTCAGGGCGGCATGACACGAAAGTGACGGTTAAGCACACTTAAGTGTTTTGGAAACAGACAAAGATATTTTGAGGATTGTGTTTGGATCGGCATGGTATGAAACCATGACGGCATGTTGTCGGCCGTGCTTGGCCAAACTAAAGACCTGTGTCATATTGGTAGGGGGCAACATGCCTCGCGTGTCAAGAAGTCACTATCCAGGCCGGCATGAGGACGATGCCAAGCCGGCACAGCCCTATCTAAGTCCTACCTCTAGCTATAGGCTCCGACATAGACACGAAGTATCAGTTCATGATAGATGCACGGGGAAGATATATATCAAGCGAACAATATTGCAGTATTCATTTTAGAAGGCGGTTGTTTTTGATTAATGGAGGCGGGCACCACGTCCGCCTCCGTTAATCAAGTTTTCTGAGGGGAGACGTCATACCCGCCTCCGCTTAATCAATTAACGGATGCCGTGTCATAAGATGTCCGTCCGCACTATCATTTGTGTTTATATATAATATATGTTATTGTTTTATATCAACATTTTGTAATCTTATATTGGTAATCTTATATTAGATATTTTGGCTAATAAATGAACTCAAATGAAAAAACTTTTAACTATAAAGTTTTAAATCTTATTAAGTACTACAACTTTAGTATACGATGGATCTCCGTCCGAGATTGTTTGAAAATAATAAAAAACTGAATCTCAAAATATGTAAATTTAAAATAAATATTTGAGACTCTAAATGATTCCAAATAAAAAACTTGACAATAGTAAACACGTAGCTCTGGTGGGACATTACAACTTTGGTATTAACTATGTGAACATTCGAGATCATTTAAGAATTCTAAATTTTGAATTTCAACATCTGTAAACTTATAACACAAATTAGGGACACTAAACAACTTCAAATAAAAAACTTCTAATCAATAAAGCTATAGATCGTATTGAGAACTATAACTTTCATGTCAACATCCGAGATTGTTTGATAATATTAAATTTTAAATTTCAAAATCTCTGAACTTCCAACAACATTTTAAGGCCTGAAACAGTTTCAATTCAAAAACTTTTCATCTACATAGCTGTAGATCCCACCAATGTCTACAATTTTGATATAAAGTTTTTCTTCATCGAGCTCATATGAAAAAGCCATGAATTATTTTTTGATGCAACTATTTATAGAGACGGATCCGTGAATTGATTTTAGGAGACGGATGCTTAGAACGACCGTCTCCGAAAATCATCGATTAATGGACGTGGTCGTCTCAAGATGTTCTCCTCTGAAAATCGATTTACGGAGACAGACACCCTAAGACGTTAATCGATGATTTTCAGAGGCGATCGTCTTTGGACACCTGCCTCCGTAAATGATTTTCGGAGACGGGCATTTTCCTGTAGCCCTCCTCACCATTTACAGAGGCGGTCCCTAGGTGTGCCCGCCACAAAAATGATTTGGTCCTATCTCCTAAAATCATTTTTCTTGTAGTGGTACAAAGAATAGAGCAGCTATGATGTAGAGTGAAATCGACGAACCGAACAATGCACACTGCAGCATGCAAACCGTGGTGTCAGAAATCAAAGTCAGACTCCAAACACGGCTTAGTTGCTATGGAATTAAATATTAGATGAGCCGTGAGCTATGCAGACGGTGGCCATCGTACCAAAAGGCACAAGCTCAAATGATTCTTTGGACAGTCCCAACCCCAAAACTGGTTGCTAGTTTCCATATAGTTAGGACAATCCTAATACCACAAAAATCACTTAACCCTTCTAGGCTCTATATGTTTCTTACACTTGGCCTATGCAAATATATACTACTTCACCAACTTGCACTGAGGCAGCTAAGAGTAAAAAGGGCACAGTAATGAGCGATTTGGGCCATCATACTAGGAAGTCCTCCACAAGATTCACAGTAAGACCAAGGTCCTTAGGTGCAAAATTTAAACCTATTGGTAACTACACTGTTGGGTTCATAAACCCGGGTTCTCTGATGGGTCCGTTTCCCAAGAGTAGCTCAGCCCAAAGAGACGGCATTACAACAACGTGCACTATGGGCCAGCCTCTTATACCTAACGACAGTGCGAGAAAGAGCGATCCAGCCTCCGACCGGAAGGTCTAGTCAAGGAGGGACAACACTCGCTTCGACCCGACCACCCGCTTTTTCCAACCGAATACATCGAACCTCTCCACATACTTCTTTTCCGACCGCGCTGTTGGAGCCGATTTAATGAATGACCGACCGGGACGCCTTTGGTGAGGACCCAAGAATCAAGTGAGCAGATAAGGCAAGGCACTCAAGTCAACCATAATACCGAGGACCGTACCTTGCACACCAAAGGATAGTACCACCAGGCCATGCCGTAAAGGTGCTTTTGCAATCTTTTAGACATGTCGTAACACGAACAATGTTGTGGGCACTGACATTTGTCCTCTGCAAAGATGGTAGACGCCAACATTTGCCATACCGTAAGAACACGATGAAGCCCTCGACATGCATCTCAAGTCAATGATTGATGGGCGCCACAAACTGTCTTGTACCCGGCGGTGTGGGGCAACAAGACTAGGTAGCACACACTCTCTCTCTTTCTCTCTCTCTCTAAACTTGTAAGGCCATCCCTTCACCCATCAAACGAATGTGCTCTCTCCTAAAAGAGGGACTGATCATTCCGACTCTCTCTCTACTAGCTTTAGACATTATGAGCACTCGAATGGTTCCATGGCTCTAGAACTCTAAAGGTACACAGAGCATACGTTTCAATACTTAAGCGCTTACGTAGGAGCTCCCGTCACTCTTGGCCCTTTGGTCCAGAGCTCGACCGACCTTTAACACCCCTTCTTATTCACACTCGCTTTGTAACCCCACGAAAGAAACTTCTCGAGCACATGGGCTCAGGAATAAATTCATCAACCGATCGGAACTGGACGTAGGGGCACGTTACTCTAACTAGTATAAACCCATGTCATTGAGTGCTAGGCCACATCCGATCATAACGTATGGCAAAACTACAATTATTTACTTGTTGGTCACTTTTAGCACCGACACACACTCTACAAGCAATTATAGTTGTTGTCACATAAAAGAGCTTGCACAAAACAAACAAAGCTCTAAGCTTCACATGAAAGTAATGTAAGGAAGTAAAGAAAGGAAAAGAGACAACTTGATTTCTTCTCATGATGTCAGGTTGTTACCAAGACCCCATAAATCACAATGGAGAACCAAAGATTAGTCATAAAGACCCTGCTTTTCCTCCCTTGAGTCATGTCTCAAGGCTCCACTAGAGAATACCAATTGGAGTACAATAAGAAGCTCCACTAGGAAGGTTACCTAGTTCTCCACTAGGGCATTTAGGTGTTGGAAACAGAAAGAGTAACAAATCTTCAACAACATATCAATATACTCTTATAAAATTAAACCCCACTAGATGATTTTTCTCTTCATGCAAGGTATCCACACCATTTCCCACTAAATGATCCCACTAGATATTCTATCTCTTCATGCAAGGTGTCCACATCATTCCCCACTAAATCCATGTCATCCCTTATTAATTATAAAAAATGTCCACGTCATCTCTATCATGTGCAATACTTTTAATATTTAATCTATTAACATACAAGTCATTTACATACGCTTTCAGCACCTATTCATCTATAATGTAATAAAATATTCTATTAGTTTTTCTTCTATTGGGTTACCAATTTTTTTGCCGGTCGGATCTGATTCAATAAAATAAGATGCAAGTCAAATTCATATATATACATAGTATATACGAATACCATATATTAATGTTATGTATATAACAGAATTATTTTTAAGAAAATCCATGGCAACGCGGGGATATGCTTTAGTATTGATGAAAATTAAGCCAACAACACCTGATGCACTCAAAGCACACTCTCACAAGATGCAATCTAGGATTGGATATCTCTAAGTCTCAATATGTGTTAGTCAGTTGAAGTGAAATAGAAGCTCCAAATGAGCTAATGGATGCACATATATTGGGTGTAAAGGTAAATAGATGCAGACATCAACGGATGATCCACTGGGCACCACATAGGTGCACTAGTTCATATTGTAATCTTATATAGGCCAATTTTCCAACAGTCAAAAGGAATATGTCAGAATATGCATCACTTGATGATCCACTAGGTATAACAAAGTTACCACTATATCATATTAAGTAGTCTAGTGACTTGATCAACTCAACACATGGTTTACTAGTCCACACGCCATGAAGTCTCCGCTAGATCATACACTGCACCCCAGTAATTGGGCTGCTTGTCACATAGTTATAAGTCAGGCCCATCACCAGATGATTCACTGCATGTCACAAAGTTACTAGTAGATCATACGATGAACATTAATGGGTTGGCCACTTATCATTAAGACAAGACTATGCCTCACTAGATAATCCATTAGGTGTCATGAAGTCTTCACCATATCA